CGGGGGCGCCGGGGGGCGGGGGCGCCGGGGGGCGGGGGCGCCGGGGGGCGGGGCAGCTCTCCCTGAGGCGCGCCCCGCCCATCACCTGGTCCGCGAGCGCCCAGCCGCTTCGGTGAAAGGCCCGCCCGCTCCTTGCTGGAGCGAACAGCGGTCCGTAGGGCTGCCGTCGGGGTTCTCCGTGCTCCCCACGGCCTCCGTGACAGGGGACAGCACTACCTTCCCCCGCCGCGCTCGCAGGGCCAACGGACCTCTCAACTGAGGTCCATCGTTTAAAAAAAAAGAAAATTTGTTTTTAATGTTTATTTTTGAGAAAGAGAGACAGAGTTTGAGCAGGGGAGGGGCAGAGAGGGAGGGAGACACAGAATCTGAAGCAGCTCCAGGCTCCGAGCCACCAGCCCAGAGCCCGACGCGGGGCTCGAACTCACCAACTGTGAGATCATGACCTGAGCCCAGTCGGGAGGCTTGGTCAACAGAGCCCCCCGGGCGCCCCTGGAGTCCACGTTCTTGCTGGAACCTCCACTGTTAGTAACAGTTTTGGAACTTGCACCCAAGTACCTGTGTGCTTATTTATGTCATAATTCTGTAAATGCCCTTCTTTACTCATGTGTTATGTACATCATAAAATACCCCTCAAAATAGAAAAAATGTTAAGCTGAGCCAGAGATGAAATAAAAAAAAAATTGAAAAGAAATTTAATCATGGTCCAAACTCTGGTCTCGCTAATTTATTGTGTTTGGTAACAAATTCTTTTCGAAGCAATGGTGTGACTATGCTTCACTGTTTTTTTGTTAATCTTGATTCGATAACTTTGTGATATAGAAATTTGAAGTTCAGATTCTAAATGCAGTTTCCTTTGAAACGTGGTCTTCGTGGCAGACAGCTGGAGCTGAAGACTGCCCCCCAGACGCGTGGGTGCAAACGGAGAAAGCGTGTGGTGCTGTGCTCGTAATAGATCATGGCCCTTCTTTCTCAGTCCCCTTTACCAATGACACCATTTTTGAAATTTGGACTCTCCAATAGATGCGAAGTGTTTTGAAAAATTACGCTTTCGTTAACTTTGAGTAGGACGAGACATTTATAAAGATCTGCTGGAGGAAAGTTAGTATTCTATTTTGAAGTCCTTACAAATGTGCTATGAACTGATAGCATTTGAGATTTGGACACTGAAGTTTAGGAAAAAGAGTGCGCCGCGCCCCCCCCCGGGGGGGGGGGGAGTCGAGGGGGGGAGGGCGGGGTGCTGAAGAAAAGTATTTATGGTCCGGGTCACCTGGATGGCTCAGTCAGTTAAGTGTCCCAACTCTTGATCTCAGGTGAGGTTATGATCTTGTGGTTCGTGAGTTCAAGCCCCACATCGGGCTCTGCGCTGACAAGTTCGGGGGCTTGCCTGGAGTTCTCTCCTTCACTCTGTCCCAACCCCCCTTAAAAATGAATAAGCTTTAAAAAATAAAATATATTTTTAAAAAGGAAAGTATTTATGGTTGATCATTTGAATGTGGGGGAAAATTAAAAATTGAATTTAACAACAGTTTCCAGAAAGGATTGTTCTTCCCCTGGGGTTCATTTGGACTTTTGAATTCCTCACCCCAAATTCTCATTTATCCCACCATTTGGTAACTAGCAATGTCAAGTCCCAGGACTGGCTTCACATCCCCATGGTTCAATTTCAGAGCAGGGGGAGGGGATGTGTATCGGGTTACTGGCTTCACTGGATGGGCTAAATCACTCCTGGTTTTTTGTTTGTTTTTAATGTTTATTTAGAGAGAAAGGGCATGAGCAGGAGATGGGCAGAGAGAGAGGAAGAGAGAGAGAGAGAGAATCCCAGGTAGGGGTTCTGCACTGTCAGCACAGAGCCCAATGCTGGACTTGAACCCATGAACCGTGAGATCATGACCCAAGCAGAAATCGAGTTGGATGTTTAACCCACTAAGCCACCAGGTGGCCCATAAATTATTCTTATTTTTAATTCCGCTTCCTCCAGGTTGTGCTCTGAGCAGCACATTCTTGGGATTACAAAAGGCTGGTGGCAGGGCCTAAGGCTAGAGTCTCACCCACGTTCTTTTGACCAGGGATTGGAAAAGAATCCAGAAGGAGAGGGAAGGTGTGGATCTGGAATCAATTTTCCGGTTTCTTATTTTGTAAAGCAAACGTTTTATTCTGAGATCATTGTAGATTCACATGAAGTTGTAAGAAATAATACAGAACATTCCAGGTACTCTTTACTCAGTTTCCCCCAACGTTACCATCCCGAAAACCCATAGCACCGCATCACAGCCAGGGTTCGGACCTTGACACAATCCGCTGGTCTTATCCGGACCTCCCCAGATGTGTACTGATTCGCGTCTGTGATTTTTTTCACGTGTGTGTTTCGCGAACCCTTTGCCACAATCAAGAAAGGACGTGCCCATCACCACGAGGGTCCTCATGTTCCCTTTTATAGCTATTCCCCTCCCTCTTCTGTTTCTGCCCCCACTTCTCCCGCCCCCCCCCATTTAACAAAGGTATAATTGACAAATAAGCTGTATGTATTTAAAGTGCATAACATGATGATTTGATAAGCATAGACATTATGAAATGACTCCATGATCAGGTTAGTTAATACACCCATCACCTCCGATGGTCACTTTTTTTTTTAACTTTTTTTTTTAATGTTTATTTTTGACAGAGAGAGAGAGAGAGAGACAGAGCATGAGCAGGGAAGGGGCAGAGAGAGAGACAGAGAGAGAGAGAGGGAGACACAGAATCGGAAGCAGGCTCCAGGCTCTGTCAGCACAGAGCCCGACACAGAGCTTGAACTCAGACCACGAGATCATGACCTGAGCTGAAGTCGGACATTCAACCGACTGAGCCACCCAGGTGCCCCTGGTCACCTTTTTTTTTTTTTTTTTTTTGGTGAAAGCACTCACGATCTAGTCTTTAAGCAAATATCAATTATATAGTCCAATATCATTAACTGTAATTATCATGCCGAACATCAGGTCCTCATAACTTAAAAGTCGTATCTTTTACCAACATCTCCAAATTCCTTCTACTCCAAAGACACTATGTTAGAACTTTTGTTCTTCTTCAAGGTCCACAAGGCTGTTGTTTTGTTTTGTTTTTTCCAGCTGACTTTCTCTCTCTTGTTCCTGTTGGGTTATTTATATTGTTTTATCTTCCAGTACGTTAATTATTTCCTCTGTCCCTCAATGTCTTTTTCTTAAAGTTTATTTAATTATTTTTGAGGGAGGGAGAGAGAATTCCAAGCGGGCTTCCCACTGTCGGCGAAGAGCCTGACTCAGGGCTTGAGCCCACAAACCGTGAGATCATGACCTGAGCTGAAATGGAAGAGTTGGACACTCAACCAACTGGACCACCCAGGCACCCCCTCTGTTTATCCTTTGAGTTTCTTGTTTTGATTCTTGTAATTTTCAGCTCTAAAATTTCCATTTTGTAATTCCTTATATCTTCTGTTTCTTTATTGAAACTTTCTATCTTTCCACTAGTTCCAAGTGTGTTTGTCATTGCTCGTTGGAACAGTGTTTATAATGGTGGCTTTAAAATCTTTATCAGATAATTTTCAGATCTCGGTCGTCCCTTTTCATTCAGCTTGACACTTTCCTTGTTTGTGGCATTATGACTAATTTTTTTGTGGAAATATGACAGTTTTATGAAATATGACATATTACCTATGAATTGAGTTTTAGATCCCTTTAAAAGGTCTGATAAAATTGTATAAGTGTAGTAAATTCTCAGAGCCAAAGAGAAAAAAATTCTTATGAACAAGTAAAAAGCTAGACTTTGGAAATAACTAAATGGTTAGTTTTTTGTTTGTTTGTTTGTTTTTTTTAGGGCTTTATATTTTCCTTGTGATCACTTCAGTGCATATCAGCATTTTAACCTCAGTGACACAGGAAACAGCAAAACAGACTAAAAAGTCAGGGCATTGATAGGTTAGGTTGTTTGAAATGTATTCTCATTTACTTTGGAGGGAAAAGACTGGGTTTAGAGACTTTCATTTCCTAACCTGCGGAGTCACACTGTGGTTGACGAGGCAGCAACAGGGGATAAACCAAGTGCCTGGTGTTCGCCAATCATCGAACAAAATCAAAGAACTCTGGAGGGAGCACAGACACTGCTGTTAACACTCATCAGAAAATGGGAAATCCGGATGACGGCTAAATCTAAAAGGTAAAGGGAGAGTCTTAGTCAGGGAACTGTTTCTGTGCTGGGTAAAGAGACGTTTCTTTTAAATTGGCTTCAGGATGAAAATTAACGTAATTTTCTTTTGGGAACAAAACCAGCCGGTTTGATAATAACCGCATACTATCGCATGACACTGGAACGAACACACTGTAGAAAATACACTTCCATGCTCATGAACACACATATAAAAATAAACCAATACGTTGCCTTTTTTTTCAGGTACTGTATTACTCTACAACTTAAGGAGCTAAGCTATTTGTGTTGATATTGTAAACTCCCAGGAGGGCAGAATTCTGCCCCTTTAAAAAAAAAAGTTTATTTATTTTGGGGGGAGACAGAGAGAGTGCGAGCAGGAGAAGGGCAGAGAGAGAGAGGGAGAATCCCAAGCAGGCTCCATGCTGTCAGCACGGAGCCCGATGTGGGGCTCAAACTCATGAATCTTGAGATCACGACCTGAGCCGAAATCAAGAGTTGGACGCTTAGCCGACTAAGCCACCCAGGGACCCCGCATTCTGCTTCTTTGAAAACAATGCCAGTCTGGTTTAATATATAAAATTAACAAATATTTCATGGTGATGATGAGGAAGGTAATAAGAATATCACTTGTTTCATTTCTTTTAAGCACTTGGAAATATTTCATCTGTGCCTTTACTTGGTGGGAAATTATATATTAGAACTAGGGATGGATACAGTGATTATGATATAAGTCAGTTCATCAGGGGACTTCCATTGTAGCAAGGTAGGTAAACTCCTCTTCTCATATATATATATATATATATATATATATATATATATATAATTTTGAGAGGTAGGTAAACTACCTCTCTCTCTCTGTATATATATATGTTTATATATTTATATATATATAAATATATATAATTTTGAGAGGTAGGTAAACTCCCTCCCTCCCTCTTTCGCTCTCTCTCTCTCTCTCTCTCTCTCTCTCTATGTATATATATATGTATATGTGTATATATACACATATACATATATATATAAAATTTTGAGCCATAAAGTGCTAAATCACTATCGATATTGATTAAAATTGCTGATATCGCTAAGCATGACTGCCTGGGTCTCCACCCTCCCTTACCCTTCCCTCTCTATCGTTTTACGATATCATTCATTCAGCCAGTGTTTATCACTCAGGGAGACAGAATTTTAAAAATCCCACCCTGGGAATCTAGCATTTCAATCGAGGTAAACAGAAAATAAGCAACGTAAATCAAGAACCTGGAAGGTATGCTAATGAGGACTATCAACACAAAAACGCAGAGCAGAGAGAAAGGGTTGCGTTTTTAGGAAGGGTGACAGAGAAGGTGTCACGGAGGTGAGCCCTGAGTGCGGACGTGAACGTGGTGAAGGAGCGGGAGGAAGAGTGTCGCAGGCAGAGAGAGAACGGGCCCTGGCACAGGTGTATGAGAGGGACGGCCAGGAGGCCACCGGGCTGCATGGGGTCAGCGGGGCACAGTAGAAGGACGTGGAGGCAGACGGCCAGGGAGGCAGCGTCCTGCTGGCCCTTGCGGGTGCTGTAAGGAAGGTGGCCTTCTCCCTGAGTGCAATAGGCTACCGGATGTCAAGAAGAGGGGTGCCCCGCACTCTGGCTGCTGGGCATGGACGTCGGGTACAGAGGCCGGAAGAACAGACGGCAGCCAGTTGCCAGCTGAGCCGGAAGACCTCGGTATGAGCGTGTTTGTGGTGCGTGTGGTGGGGGCCCCTGCGAGCAGTTGCCACTGGGAGCTCAGTGTAGACACGACAGGTTTTGAGATGCCTATCACACACCCAAGTGTCGTTGAATAAAGGGATATGCAAACCTTGGTTCAGGGCTCAGGTCTGGGTCGGGTATAATTTGGGGGAGTGTATATTTAGATGGTGTTTAAAGCACGAGACTAGATTAAACCACCGAGGATGTGGGTGCAGGCAGAAAAGAGAAGGGGTCCAAGGATGGCGCCCTTGGTCACCCCAAAGTTAAGAGGTCGAGCTGCTGGGGAGGAACCCGCAAAGAACACGACAAGGGACATGGCCAGGGAGACGAGGGGAAACCAGATCGGCTGTGCAGAAAGCAAGCCAGGAGTGTGTTTCTAGGAAAGAGTGTTCCTCCCGCTAAAACAAGACGAGGTCGTGGCTGACCTGGGCGAGAAGAGTTTTGGCAAAGTGGACAGCAGATGTCTGGTTGGCGTGGGTTCAGAAGAGCAGGGGAAGAGAGAAGCTAGAGAAAGCGAGGACAGCCTTCTTCAGGAAGTTTCCGTGTGAAAGGAGAAACGGGATGTAGAGTGAAGTCGGCTCAAAGGAAGATTTTTGTTTTTTTAAAGACGAGAGCAGGTTTGAGTACCTCTCGGAATAACTTCGTGGGGAGGGAAAAACTGACGATGGAGGCAGACAGTGGGATTTAACCAGGTTTCATGTAGACTGATGAGTAAGGCAGAGGGAGAGGGGCATTAGTTGAGGGTGCCCGCAAAGGACGCCATCACATCGGTTGACTCTGGAACGCAAGCAGGGTCGGGACACAGGGCATTAGAGTCCCAAGGGAAAGGGGGATGGAAGGGCTGGAAGAGACAGTGTTTCCCAGCCGCTTTCCTCCGAGAAGAGGCAACCCCTTTGTGGATTGGAATAACTGGATTTCTTCTCCGTCCTGCTCCCCAGGGTCTATGGTAGAAGGAGCTACTTACAAAGGATCCACAAAATAGCGAATGTTCCTGTTTAGACTGTCTAGACTTTCCATGTCCTCTGGTGTCAACTGGAAATCCAGAACCTGTCAGAAAGGTGAGAAGACGGACTCAGTTTCCCTGCAGCAATTACTGTCCGCTTCTCCTCCCTCCCCCAACCCAGACACACATTTACGTAGGAATGTACGTAGGTTTTACAGGACGGTTGTCATGAACCCGGGGGCTCGTTCCAAACGAGAGTCAGGAGTGTGTCCCCTTGGCTGTTTGAACTCAGATCACCCTCAGGGGCTCTGGGTGGGTGACTGTGGCCGCAGCAAAGGAATCCTACACCCTTTCAAGCCTAAATCCCATCTCATCTAGCTCCTTCATTCTGCAGCTGAAGAAATCAAGGCCATACTGTTGGGCGAAAAAACAGGACTGAGACCCAAAGCTGACCTTCTGGGTTTCTTTCCCACTTCCTCGTTCCCTCCCTGCAGCAGATGGGGGGGGGGGGGGGGATAGTTAGACACCGCACTCGCGTGCATAGCGTAGGCAAGGAGGTGAGCTTGGCCCAAATATACCTTGGGTGCCTCGCCGATGACCCAGACCAGAGGGAGACGAGGTGCCTCCATCAGCCCCCTGCCGCCCACAGCCCTCCCGTGTACCTGGAAGTTCTCCCGAATTCTCTCCTCATTGAAGCTCTTGGCCAGGGCCACCACCCCCCGCTGCAGCTGGTAGCGCAGGGCCACCTGGGCTGGGGTTCGCCTGTGCCTTGCAGCAATGGCACTGAGCACTGGATCCTCCAGGAGAACCGGGTTGTTCTTGCTCAGCCTGGAAGGGAGGCAGAGGTGCAATGTGTCCGAGGCTGTATGTCCATCTTACATGGGATGGCTGGGTGGGTTCCATCCTCTGAAAATCCGCCCGATTACCCTCTGGCTGTCTCAACATCTGTTTTTGCTTCTTGTGGCCAATCCAAAGAAGAAGGACCAGAGAGAGGCAGGCAGAAAGGGACTCTCAGGTATTTGCTCATTTTTTACACGTTTCTGAGAAATTCGGTAAAAGACTGGATAAGCCAAGAGGACAAAATTTTTGTCCCAACTAAGACCCGATAATCTCCATTATAATAAATAAACCAACTGTTTTCTAAGAAGTTGCTATTTCAATAATGCTTTCAACTAATTATCTGCTTCGTCAAGTGCTAAGAGGAGCATGTTTATACACCTCTTCAAGAGATAAAGAAACCCAAACTCACAGAAGCTCTTACTGGTCTCACGTCCCTCAACTCTCAAGTGTTCGAATCGTGGCCCGGGCTCCCTTTGCCACTCTCTAAACCCAAAGCTTTTGAACTGGGTGAACGTTCTAATCAGTGATTTTATTATTTAACACTGTCTTATCGAGTCCCTACAAAGTAGGCTAGTGAAAGGGTTGGCAAAGACGGACTCTTCCTGCCGCCTACCGCTCATCTGCCCCAGAAGGTGGAGCGATGACTCCAGAAGGGACAGTGTCCGTGATTAGAATAAGAGCAGAGAGGTCATTACCATTCCTTCCCTGAGTTGGACCCCAAGGCCGCGTACGCAGTCAAGACGATGTCCTGGGACTTGCAGAACTCCAGCAGTTTGCTCTGGTTGAGGTAAGGGTGACACTCCACCTGCAGAAAGCAAGCAAAAGGGTTGGATTCCAGGCACATAAAGTGCTGTATTGCGTGACAGCAAACATATCCGGGCGGTCCAGCAACACGGGGAACACACGACCGTCACCCACAGCTGGGCCAGGGGAACTGACGGAGACTTGCCCTCCAATTACTGCCCACGGACAGCAGAGCAGTACTGAGAAACGGGCTTGGTGCTCATGACAGACAAGTCAGATCAGGAGGTCAACAGACACGCTCAGTCTCTCGGACGGGAGACCACGGGGCTGGCCTTGGCTCCCCCTCGCGCGTCTCTCTGTCCAACGAGAAGCAGCCCCTGCCTTTCTTCGTTCTTCGTTCTCAGTCCCTCACCCTGACCTCTTCCCTTCACAGCTGCCACGCCTGGAAAGCAGCCACCCATCCTTCACGTGTGACTGACTTTCCGTGAGGTCAGTCTTCAGCTTCAGAAACCAGAGCGCGTTCGTCTTTCCCACCACAGTGTGCTGTGATGTCTCTGCTTGACCCGTGGAGCCTTCAAACACCGGCCCTGCTCTACGTCACTGCACCTGTTCCCTTCCCCAAGCCCAGTCTTGTACCATGTGTACAGGGCTCGGAGGCTTCTGGCCCTTTGATCATCGAGCGGAAATACGTTGCTCGTTGTGACTAGTCAGAAGCTGTTACTAGCGTTGTGACCCGCACACGCTCCCGGTGAGAGGGGCTTCTGTGCCGTAAAAGATAATCAGGGGTACAGTCATCGTCCTTTCTGTGTAGGGGACCTGGACACCCAGACGTATGTGGGTCAAGACGGTCCCCCCGGCCACGGGATGGGTGGGCTAGGGGGCCAGCTCAGCTCAATTTGTTGATTCTCGGGCTGGCCTTGGCTATTTCCCCTTCCATGACACGGGTCAGGCTCACGTAAAACCCTGGGCGGGCAGGCTCTAGCGTCATGGTGTCCGTTGCAGGGGGGGCCTGAAGAAAACGGAATGTCTTGACTATTTTTCAAGATGGCTACTGGATTTTTCTCCAGTGTTCAGTGCGAAAAGCTGGTCGGGCTTCTGGCGGTAAAACTCAGGAGAGCCTGGGGACAGGCCCATTGGGGAGCCCCCTGGAGATGTCAGCTCTCAGACTTGACGCCGAGGCTCCAGCAACTCCCGAGCTGCTGCTCCACCCCTTCCTGCCCCATAGTGACCCTGGCGGCCTTTTCGTTCCTGGCAAACCGCGATTCTCTGTATCGGCCTATCTGTCTCTCCAGTTTTCTGGCCGGCAGCTGGCTCTGTGACCTCAACTCTCTGACGGATCTAAAAAGAGTTGCTCGTTCTTGGTTTATTCAGCTCTTCTGATTATAAGGACACAAGCAACAACTCCCGAGCTCCTTTCGGGCCAGACCCCAAGCTGCGAGTGTGCACACGCACTTTTTGCCACACGCCTTTCTCACTGCCTCTGCTCTGACTCTGGCGACTCAATAAGAATGAGCAGGGATTGGGGTGCCGGGGTGGCTCAGTCCGTTGAGCGTCCGACTTCGGCTCAGGTCACGATCTCGCGGTCCGTGAGTTCGAGCCCTGCGTCGGGCTCTGGGGTGATGGCTCAGAGCCTGGAGCCTGTTTCCGATTCTGTGTCTCCCTCTCTCTCTGACCCTCCCCCGTTCATGCTCTGTCTCTCTCTGTCCCAAAAATAAATAAACGTTAAAAAAATTAATGAAAAAAAAAAGAATGAGCAGGGATTGAAGAGAAGCAAGCAGCCCGACTTCGGCCCCATTTGAACTGTGTTCCCCAGCACCGTGTGCAGGAAGGGCCTGGTGCTGGCTTCCTGGGGCTGGTTCAGCCATCACGTGCAAATGACCTGTCTGCCTCACGGTTGTCTCGGGCATGAACACGGAAGGGGAGGAAGGGTGATTTATTGTATTCGGGGAACAAGACCAAGCCACCTGACCTGAACTGCCATCCACTCAGATCACCCCTTGGATCACGATGAACTGTCCTCTGTTCAAGCTTCTCAGGCCCACGTAAACTTCCCACCAGCCAATCAGTCTAAGCTTGGCCGTGGTCCGTTCGCTCTGTAGAACCCAGGGCGACGTACGGCTTCTTCCTTAATTCTTCAACATGACCCCAGGCAAAACCAGTTTCTTTACTTTCTCTAGACTGACGATCCCCAAGGTGGAGGTAAACCTCCCAAGGGACACAAAATACAACTTTTCAGAATTCTTATTTGTATTCTTCATCTATAAATAAGAGAAAAAACAAGCCTCACTAATAATTAATACATGGATTGGCTGTCACTCTCTGTCAGCCTTCATGTAAGAAGTTTAGAAGGAGATAAGATAAAGCCAGGGTGAATGTGGACCCTCCCGAGGACAGAAGTGTGGCCACTCACTTCCGTGCTCACAATTTCTTCCATAATTCTCCAAGATCGGGAAGTTTATGCGTGGCTTTTTTTTTTTAATTTTTTTTTTTTTTGACGTTTATTTACTTTTGAGACAGAGAGAGACAGAGCATGAACAGGGGAGGGTCAGAGAGAGAGAGGGAGACACAGAATCCGAAACAGGCTCCAGGCTCTGAGCTGTCAGCACAGAGCCTGACACGGGGCTCGAACTCACGAACCGCGAGATCATGACCTGAGCCGAAGTTGGACGCTCAATCGACTGAGCCACCCAGGCGCCCCAATGCGTGGCTTATTAAAGTGGGTTTATCTTTTTTTTTTTTTAAGTTTATTTATGTATTTTGAGAGAGAGAAAGAGAGAAAGAAAATCCCAAGCAGGCTCCACACTGTCAGTGCAGAGCCCGATGCGGGGCTCGAACTCACGAACCATGAGATCATGACCTGAGCCAAAATCAAGAGTCAGATGGTTTAACTGAGCTACCCAGGCACCCCTAAATTTATCATTTTTTATTTATTTATTTATTTATTTATTTATTTATTTATTTATTTTAATTTTTTTTTTAACGTTTTATTTATTTTTGAGACAGAGAGAGACAGAACATGAACAGGGGAGGGGCAGAGAGAGAGGGAGACACAGAATGAGAAGCAGGCTCCAGGCTCTGAGCCATCAGCCCAGAGCCCGACGCGGGGCTTGAACTCACGGACTGCGAGATCGTGACCTGAGCTGAAGTCGGACGCTTAACCGACTGAGCCACCCAGGCGCCCCAAATTTATCATTTTTTAAACAAATTTACTATTTTGAGCATTTCTAAGTTCAATGTTGTGAATGTATTCACATTGTCGGGGGCTGATTTTGTACCATCAGGGCTCAGTGGTTATCTCATGACACAGAACTCAAAAGAATTACCTGTTTTCTTTTCCACAGGAGGGCTCCAACTTTACTGACCAGAGATGAGAAAGATCCAGACTTTGTTAGCTGCACATTTCTAGGACCCACCCCCATTACACACCTAGGAGATTATACTCCAACCTGAGCCTCGGGTGTTTTTTTACAAAGTGACTTGGCCTTGGGGACTGTCTTCAACAACTTGCAATGCAACTCTGTTCTCTTCAGGAGAGGGCAGTGCCGCTGGTGACCTCGCTGAAATGACACAAGAGGAGGGGGTAGAGTTGGGGGGGAGGGGCGGGTCCACGGGGCTCACCTGGTTGCACACGGGCTTGTACTTGAGGCCGGGCTTGTCCAGGATCCTCTCCAGCTGCTTGCGGTTGAAGTTGGACACCCCGATGGACTTGGCCAGCCCTGAATGCTTACACTTCTCCATGGCCTGGGGAGGAAGGGGCTGTGAGGAGTGATCCCTGCAGCTGGCTGGGGAAGCACGGAAACAGGGATGGTGCTGAGAGAGGGGGCTCAGGATGGGAGAGAATATGACACAGGACAGAGGAAGCCTTGAAGGCTGCGGGTGTCAACAAACGAGACAGGGATTAACCTGGTAGGAGGAGAACGAAAAATAAAATAATAGGAGAAAAAGGGCAAGAAGACCGAGTAAGATAAGAAGGCAAGGGGCGCAGGACCCAGCTCAAGGAGCCGGTGCGGTTTTCGGCCGGACACCCAGAAAAACTCGAGCAAAGTCACAGCGAGGGCCAGGCGCACAGGAAGTGGAGCCTGTGCAGCATGGGAGGCAGGAAGGGGCCAGACTGTCCCCCCGACTGTGGCTCCCTGTTTTCTCTTCGACCCCCTTTCCCATGAGGGTCACCAAGTTCCCTCTGTTCCCGTCACACGTGCCTCGTTGCTCTTCTCGAACATGACAGGCTCTCTCCCGCCTTAAAAACCTGGCCTCGGCCTTCTTTACGCCCGTATCGCTCTTCCTCCGGATACTACACAGTCGGTTCCCTCGCTTCTTGCAAAGCTTTGCCCAGTGTTACCTTGTCAGCGAGGCCTGCCCTGCCCTGGCGTTCTCAGCTCCCTCATCAGCTTTATTTTCTCATACATCCCCCCACGCTGCCGTAGCACCTGCCAGTCCGTGGGGCTGGAAACCTTGGTTTGTTCACCAGTGCGGCCTGAGCACTTAAACACACTCAGTACTGAGTACACCACAGGCACTCGGTAAGCACTTGCTGAACTATGAAATGCGGGAGATGTGAAACGGAGGCAGAAGGACATCCGGGGGCTCACCCAAGTCTACCTGGGGGCGGAATTGGACGAGGTCCACGTTTCCTGAATCCCCTGTCCAGCCTCTCTCCCCCAACGTCAGAAACGTAGCTATTCAGAGCCGTACTCACCTCCCACGTGGCACAGAGATCCACTGTGTCGAAAATGAGTTCTCCGTGTTCGTCCTTTGGGAAGAGCTCTTCCCCAGGCTGGGACACAGGGAAGAAAGAGAGGTTGTACAGAGCTGTGTTTGGCCTCAGCCAAGCTGTCGGGAGCCTACAGACCTTGAGGCTAATGCAACAACCTATCCTCATTCTTGAAAGGAATTGTAAGGTTAGGCTGAAGACAGAGAAAGTACATTGAGGGAGTGTACCTCCCAGAAAGGTTTTAGCTGCTAAACATCGTGTCACAGACAACTTGGGACACCCAAGACCCCATCCTAGAGAGAGGCTACAGTGATGCCACGGCTCAACAGGCACCTTGGCCTTGGATTCTCGTGAGATAAGCTGCTCTTACCCCTGCTTTACACCTGGAGGTGGTCACACAGTAGAGCGACTCGTGAGCATCTGGAGGGTTGAGTTTCATCATTAAATTTCCTATACCTCAGCTGGTCTCCATATCGGGACACTCCCCAGACACGAGTGGGTATGAGGTGGACATTCAGGACCATGGGGTCTTTTTTTTTTTTTTTTATTATTAAAAAAAATTTTTTTTTTAATGTTTATTTTTGAGACAGAGGGAAACAGAGCGCGAGTGGGGGAGGGGCAGAGAGAGAGGGAGACACAGAATCTGAAACAGGCTCCAGGCACTGAGCTGTCAGCACAGAGTCAGACGCAGGGCTCGAACCCCGAACCGTGAGATCATGACCTGAGCCGAAGTCGCTCAGACGCTTAACCGACTGAGCCACCCAGGTGCCCCCAGGACTGTGGGGTCTTGAAAATACAGACGATGCATTTGCGAGATCGAAGCAAAGATATTGAAAGCCAGTGAACTCTTACACTCTGGGGCTGAGATGGGACTTTTGCGGCAGAGAAAAAGGGAGGGGGGGAAGCTTAAAGTATTATGTATGTTTTTTCCTCGTTTTTACAAACTATATCCTCTCTTGTATTCAGCTCTTAATTTTTACGTTGATGATTAAAGTAAAAGAACTTTCGCTAACCTTCAAAGGTATTGGGATATGTATAAGATAAAGATCCACATAGCTCAACTGAAGTTTACTCAGCGATATTTCCAAGCTGGTTCGAACCAATTCTGGACGTAAAAAGGTTCCCCACACCTGCAACGGTTGAAAGGGAAGGTATGAGATTCTTTCTTTCAGAATCGTTAGGAGAAATTAATAAAGTGCACAACTGTCACTATTTACAGATGACAGACAGTATATAAAGACTCCACCAAAAAACTATCAGAACTAATAAATTCAGAATTCTGTATGGTGGCAGGATACAAGATTAATATACAGAAATCTGTTGCATTTCTATACACTAATAAGGAAGTAGTGGGAAAAGAAATTAAGAAAACAATCCCATTTACGATTGCACCAAAAACAATAGAATCCCTAGGAATAAATGTAACCATGGAGGTAAAAGACTTGTGTTCTGAACATTGGAAGACATTGATGAAAGAAATTAAAGATGGCACAAACAAATGGAAAGCTACCCCATGCTCGTGGACTGGAAGAACAAATATTGTTAAAATGTCCCTACTACTCAAAGCAGTCCGCAGATTGAACGCGGCCCTTATCAAAATACAAATAGCATATCTTTTTGCATACCTAGAACAAACAATCCCAAAATGTGTATGGAACCAGAGAAGACCCTGAATAGCCAAAGCGACCTTGAGAAAGAAAAACAAAACTGGAGGCACCATAATCCCAGACTTCAAGGTATACTACAAAGCTGTGGTAATCAAAGCGATCGGCACTGGCACAAAAACAGATGCACAGGTCAACAGAACAGAATAGAGAGCTCAGAAACAAATCCATGCGTATATGGTCAATCAATCTACAACAAAAGAGGCAAGAATACGCAATGGGAAAAAGACGAATGATGTTGGGAAAACTGGACAGCAACATTAGAAGAATGAAACTGGACCACTGTCTTTCATCATACACACAGAAAAATAAACTCACAATGGTTAAAGACCTAAATGTGAGACCTGCAACCATAAAACTCCTAAAAGAAGACACAGGCAGTGACCTCTTGGACATTGGCCTTCACAATATATTTGTGTATAGGTCTCCTGAGGCAAGAGAAACAAAAGCAAAGATAAACTATTGGGGCTGCATCAAAATAAAAAGCTTTTTCACAGCAAAGAAAACCATCAACAAAACAAAAAAGCAACCTACACAAAGGGGAGAAGGTATTTTCAAGTGATAAATCTGACAAGGAGTTTCTATCAAAAACTATATGAAGAACTTATTCAACTCAACACCGAAAACACAAAATAATCTGATTAAAAATGGCAGAGAACATGAATGGACATTTTACCAAATAAGATGTACAGATGGCTAACAGACACATGAAAAGATGCTCGGCATCACTCATCATCAGGAAAATGCAAATCAAAACCACAATGAGGTATCACCTCACACCTGTCAGAATGGCTAGTATCAGAAAGACTAGAATGACAAGTGTTCACAAGGATGTGGAGGAAAGGGAACCCTGGGGCATTGTTGATGGGAATGTAAACTGGTGCAGCCACTGTGGAAACCAGTACGGAGGTAGGTTCCTCAAAAAATTAAAAGCAGAAATACCATATGATCCACAACTATAATTCCACTTTTGGGAATTTACTCAAAGAATATGAAAACACTAATTCAAAAAGACATATGCACCCCTATATTTATTGCAGCATTATTTATAATAACCAAGATACAGAAATAATACAAATATCTATAGGTAGATGAATGGATAAAAAAGGTATGATATATACATTTGTACATATAAAGAGTGGAATATCACTCAGCCATAAACAAGAATGGAATCTTGCCATTTGTGACTAGAGTGTATTACGCTAAGTGAAATCAATCAGACAGAGAAAGAAAAATGCCAGACGACTTCATTTATATGTGAAATCTGAAAAACCAAGCAAATGAAAGAACAAACAAACAAAAAACAGAAACAGACTCATAAATATAGAGGAGAAACTGGTTGTTCCCAGAAGGGAGGAGCGTAAGGGGAGGGGTGAACTAAGTGAAGGGGATCAAGAAGTACAAATTTCTAGTCATAAAATAAGGAAGTCATGACAAATGAGAGATGTTGTCAATGACGCTGTATGGTGACCACACTTATCATGGCCAGCGCCGTGTAATGTACAGACTCGTCACACCACCATGTTGTGCGTCTGGAACTAACAGAACCTTGTATGTCAACTACGCTTCAATAACAAAAATGCTCAATTTTAACTCCTCTTCAATAAAATATAATTGTTTCATTTTAATATGGTCTATGTAACCAGGGGCTTGCTGCCTGGTTTTAGCCTAAGGGGGAACCATATAAAAACTATTTTATACAGCTTAAAAAAAAAAAGAATCTCTAGAAGAAATTAATGAAAGGGAAAATGAGCAACAACTACAAACCCACTTGCAGTCGTTGGGAAGTGACACTTGTGGTCATTGGGAAGTGACGAACCATCCTGCTTAGCTCCTAAATTCTTTTTCCTCATAGCTTCTGTTTCATACTGAATTAAGACAACGATGTAGGAGAGGAAAAATATGGCCCAACACAGGGGGTCTCAAACTTTAGAATGTAAAGGAATTATGAAACACATTCCTGGGTTCTACCTCCAACATATTACATCACAATATCTGGAGATTTTGGCTGGGACATTGCATTTTTTTTCCCTGAGTTTATTTGTTTTGAGAGAGAGAGAGAGTGCACACAAGCAGGGGAGGGGTAGAGAGGGGGAGAGACAGAATCTCAAGCAGGCTCCACACTGTCAGTGCAGAGCCCGACATGGGACTCGAACTCATCTACCATGAGCTCATGACCTGAGCCGAAACCAAGAGCTGGATGCTCAACTGACTGAGCCACCCAGGCGCCCCTGGGAAATTCCATTTTTTTTTTCAACATTTATTTTTGCGACAGAGAGAGACAGAGCATGAACGGGGGAGGGGCAGAGAGAGAGGGAGACACAGAATCGGAAACAGGCTCCAGGCTCTGAGCCATCAGCCCAGAGCCTGACGCGGGGCTCGAACCCACGGACCGCGAGATCGTGACCTGGCTGAAGTCGGACGCTTAACCGACTGCGCCACCCAGGCGCCCCTGGGAAATTCCATTTTTAACAAGAACCTCAAGCAGTTGTGATTCAGGAAATTGCATTTTAAATGCATTAGGTGTTCCAAAGAAAAGTAGGACCTATAGGAATTTTGGGGGGAGGGTACTTTAGTCAGCTTATTTTAGGAAGTAAAAATCTAAGGAAAATCCATCAAAATTGCTAAGGCTCCCTCCCTACGGAAGGGAAATAAACAGACAAGAGAGCAGTAGTGATACCACATCTAACACAGTCATTCAGAGAGCTTCATACCGTGGAGCAAGAAGGAAGAAATTCCCTTCCTGCCTAGAATTCACTTGTATGGACCTCACCTCTCTCTTCATGGGTCACTTTGCCTCATATCTAAATATCTGGTTCTAGTTAGTCGTAGTCAGCTCCATGAACACCACTGGAGAAAATTCTTCTTGGATTCCTTTCCAGTCTGACTTAAATCCATAAGTTCTTTTATTTGTTTCAGCTATACTATCAGTAGAAATGAAAAATAGTAGGAGAAAATGGCTCCAAAGTTAAAAAAAAAATCTAAGTACGTTTACAAACATTAATTTCATCCTCATAGCAGTTCTGCGGTATTATCTTCCCACTTCATAGGAAAGAGACATGAGATGTCTATTGACCATGCCATAGGTTGAGATATGAGGCCTAAGCCTCGAAGAAGTTGGAACCCACATCCCTTGGCAGCATGTACCCCACCTTCAGCGTATACCTTCCTACAGTGCAAGGTCTGTGGGAATGAAAATTTAACCAATAAGAGGAGAACTTCACCGAGAAACTCTTCAGCTAAGAGTGAGCTTTTCACAGATACGTAGGGAACTATACACAGAACCTTTGAAGTGTAGAATATGTCCTCTCTCTTCACAGAGCCATCAGCGATCTTCTTCCGGATGGCCCTCCCAATCTCTTCTTCATTTAGATACAAGTAAGCGGAGTCAAAATGGCGGTAGCCTACATCGATTGCTCTCACGACAGCCTCTTCCACCTCACTCTTAGGAACCTAGAAGACCACAGAAAGACAAAGACCTACTTGATTCAGGAACAGATGGCCAATCCCACCAGCGGAGCTATTTAGCAGAACCTATTGTTTTTCTAAGGCTAAGAGCTAGAGGTGACAGAGCTGAATGTGGACTTATACCCAGTGGTAGGTATTTAACGATCTATGGTGTAAATACTCCCACCATGGCTGACTTCAAGCCATGAATATTAGGAAAAGGTGCTCACCATCAGATCTTGTGAGCCCATGAGCTGGCCTAGCTCGTCACTGGGTTTAACCCTCCCGCCCCTGGATTTACATCATGTGTGGATTTACACAATCTATCGGTTGACGGTCCCAAGTTAACTCACTCTGTGAGAGACCGTTACACCGGTTGCAATCCAGAAGTCTAATGCTCAGAGCTATCTGTCAATGCAGTGAAGGTGTGACTTTACACAGCATAAATTAATGATTTACCGATGTAAACTTGGAGGAACGCTTCAAGCAATATTTGAGGAGGAACAGAAATGTAAAAGAAAATCAACTATTTTTTTTATGCAAAATGTCTCATAATTGGTTTTGCTGTGGTGGTTGCTAAGTTGGTCCGCACGTGACTCTTGCCCTTTCACAACTTGGTTATTTTATTTTTAGCTGCCTACTGTTCTGCTGGCCCACCAGGCTGGACTTTAGACCTTCTCCATAATTTCCCCTCACCATCGCCCGCTTCTACCTCACTTAAAATGCCTCCTGGGTATATTTTTTAATCTGTAATTCCCGACTAGTTAATTGGTACCCCGGATTTAAGAGCCAAGAGTCCAAGTAAAAGCAACCCTTGGTGACAGTGCCCTTGCTGAAGTCCTCAGCATTACCCACCATGTGGCTCTCGTGTTGGGGAGTCGATCCTACAACTTTCCTTAAACAATTATAAGCTCCTCCACTAGGAACCACTGAAGATGTGCTCTTGTAAGTTGGAATGTTCAAATGAGAAACACGCATGGAGTTCAGGGTTCCAAACAGAGAATTTCCAAGTGCCCCCAGGGAATAGTATTAACAACTTGGCCTCTACCAGACTATTTCCCCTCCAGACCACCAGCACTCTCTCTAACTTTAATCTTGACTCTCTCCAGAACATTCAGCGGCCAAGATTTCTCTAGATAGTCTATGCGTGTTGGTGGACAGCAGACGTTACAGAGAAACTTCATCACAAGCAAGCTTGCCATCGAGTCTCCAACATGTGGTGATCATGACACCTGGGTTTCATTCACTGCAACAGATGGTGAATGGCTACAGCTGGACAGCCGGTGAGAGTACCAGAAACGGCCTCACCCACCCCTGCGTGGCTGACAGATGGCATGCTCCCCTGCCCCTTGATATAGCAGTATGCCACGTGTGACTGTCGAACAAGCAGCATCAGAGTCACTCGGTAGATCATTAGAAATGGGGATTTTTGAGCCCTATCCCAGATCTACTCATTCGGAGCCTTTGTAGGTACGGCCTCCAAATCTGAATTTTTAACAAGAAGCTCAGTGTTTTCATGCTGAGGAAAATTTGAAAATCACTGACTTCATGCACTAAATAACCTAACTGGAGAGAAGCATCTTACGAACAAATAAAATGAGGCCTGCCTGCATTTCCCCAGTTCTGGTTCTGATAAGGACCCACGTCCGCCGCCCCTCTGTCTCCGAGGCCACAGTGACTACCTTATTAGGAGCAGAGGTGCCAAATCCCAGCATGGGCATGAAGAACCCATCGTTCAGCTTTACAGAGCAGAGTTTCACTGAGCTCATCCCTTTCCACTCTTCTGGCTTTTTATTAGAAGAAATCTGCAGAGGGAAGACAATAGCGTAATTGTTATTTTTTAACAGCTTTAATGAGATAGAAGTCACATACCATAAAATCACCCCCTCGAATTCATCCGCTTCAGCAGGTTTTAGTCTACTCATGGAGTTGTTGCCAGTACACAATTTCAGAGCATTTTCACCGTCCTCCACTAAACACCATCCTCCTAGAAACAACACCCCATTCCTCGCTCCTTTCAACCGCCGGCAAACACTTTCTGCCTCGACAGATTTGCCTATCCTGGAAATCTTATGTACATACACCACGTGGCCTTTCGTGACTGCGTTCTTTCACTTAGCCCATTGTTTTCGAGGCCAATCCATGTTGTATCGTGTTTTGGTGTTTCCTTCCTTGTTGTGGCTAAATCACATCCCTTTGTATGGGTGTACCACATGTGGGTTATCCCTTCTTCAGTTGACAAACATTTGGCTTTTCCCACTTTTCACCTACCGTGAATAATGCTTCTGTAAACATTCCTGCACAAGTTTTTGTGTGGACATACGTTTGCAATTCTCTTGGGTATGTACGTAGGTGTGGAATTACTGAGTCATAGAACAAACCTGTGTTTAATGTTCTGAGAAACCACCAAGCGTTTTCCAAAATGGCCGTACTATTTACACTCCAATTTGTGACAACTCCAGTTTCTCAGCATCTTCTCCAACACTTGTTACGCATTATTGTTTGTCAATAGCCATCCTGACAGGTATGAGGTGATAGTGTGGTTTTGGTCTGCATTTCCCTGAGTGATGAGTGATGTTCATAAACATCTGTTCATAAACCTCTTGGTCATTTGTAGATCTTCTCTGGAGGAATGTCTACTCGAGTCCTTGCCCACTTTCGAGCTGGTCATTAGTTTTCCTTGCTAACGAGTTGTAGGAATTCCTTATATATTTTGGAGATGAACTTCTTATCAAATACAGGGTTTGCAAACATTTTCTTCCGATCCAAAGAATCCTTTTCACTCTGTGGATGGTTTCCTTTGCTGTGCACAAGCTTTTTGGTTTGATGTGGCCCCACTTGTTTATTTTTGGTCTTATTGCCTGTACTTTTGGTGTCTTATTCAAGATATCATGGTCAATGTCATTAAGATTTTCTCCTATGTTTTACCCCAGAGTTTTAAAGTTACGGTCTTACATTTAAGTCTTTAATCCATTTTGAGTTGAATTTGACAACCCCAATGCATTTGTATTATTCTATCACGGTCTCAGAATGATTAATCTTTGGTTAATTTTGTTCTTTTTAAAATGTTTATTTACTTATTTGAGAGACAGCAAGAGAGAGAGAGAGCACACACACGCATGCGCAGGGGAGGGGCAGAGAGAGGGAAACAGAGGATATGAGGCAGCCTCTGCTCTGACAGCAGAGAGCTCGATGCGGGGCTCGAACTCACATACCGTGAGATCATGACCTGAGCTGAAGTCAGACACTTAACCGACTGAGCCGTACAGCCTCCTGTGATTAATTTTGTTCTTAAACTATTTAATGAAACTTTAACCCGGTGCCTACCTTTGTTTCTAAGTTTGAATTGATAAACTAAAAGAACAATTGAAATCTAGGCATTATCTGCCTTGTATGTGTAGCAACAGAAAGCACCCAGACCACCTAAATAGTAGTTTTACAAATATGTGTATGATGATTTTTATTCATGTTTTATGATATGGAAAATTATTAAGTATTAAAATTATATATGTGTGTGTGTGTGTGTATATACACACACACACACACACACATATAGGCTCTGCTCTGACATTTCCAAGTCACTTTCTCAAAAGGCTTTGCCCCATCAGTGTTTACCCTCTGATCACCAGAGCATGAAAATTCCTAGCTCACTCATCAGTGACAGTATTGTGATACTTCACTGAAAACTTCCTAAGCAAATGATCAGGCTGTCAATAGTCTATCATGTCTTATCCATAATAATTAGAGTAGATTTCATTAAAAGACGCTGACTAAGGCTGTGAGATTAATTTCTGGATTCTGCCTCATTTTCATCTTTCCCTTTCCTCTCACGCCTAATTCGGGCACATTAAAACATCTCCTTCCCCTCCCGTCTCAAAAAAGGCACTAAATTACCCGTAAGTATATTCAGCCTCAGTTAATACAGGGAAGATGTGCATGAAATGTCTGCTAACTAGACTTAACCGTGTCACCATTTCACAGTCTATACGAATACCAAATCACCAAGCTGCACGTTGGAAACACATTATGTTATATGTCAATTATACCTCCACAAAAATTATGCTTCTGCGGCAAAAAAAAAAAACAAAAACAAAAACACAAAAATGAAATGCCATTTTCACCACTCTGATTAAACTGTTATATTACGCAAACATATCAAGCGCGAAGATGGTGAATAAAGTTTTAATTCCACAAACAATGAGTAAGTGCCGTATGAAGCTCCAAAATGATGACTGTTGCTGTGATCTTTGTGATTTTACTGTGACTTTTGTGGTCTATTCTGTAGTAGGCAATTTTGAAGATTCCTAAATGAAAATGTATTCTCTTTGAAGAAACAGATTAAAGTTTATTTTAAAATTCCCTGGATTCAGGTGCCTTGGTGGCTCAGTCGGTTAAGGATCTGACTGAGGCTCAGGTCATGGTCTCGTGGTCTGTGAGTTCAAGCCCCGTGTCGGGCTCTGTGCTCACAGCTCGGAGCCTGGAGCCTGCTTCGGATTCTGGGTCTCCCTGTCTCTCTGCCCCTCCCCCACTCGTGCTCTGTCTCTCTCAAATATAAATGAACATTAAAAACATCTTTTTAGGGGCACCTGGGTGGCTCAGTCGGTTAAGCGTCCGACTTCGGCTCAGGTCATGATCTCGCGGTCCGTGAGTTCGAGCCCCGCATCGGGCTCTGTGCTGACCGCTCAGACCCTGGAGCCTGTTTCAGATTCTGTGTCTCCCTCTCTCTGACCCTCCCCCGTTCATGCTCTGTCTCTCTCTGTCTCAAAAATAAATAAACGTTAAAAAAAATTTTTTTAAAAACCATCTTTTTAATAAAACAAATTCCCTGGATTTGTAGATTTTATTGCATAATTGTGATCACAATGAAATTCCTCGCTGGTGCCCAGCCTGCACAGATTTAGAGCCCTGACGTGCCTTTTCACCCTGCCCCATCCTGTCCTCCTCCATTCAGACTTCTCTTGACCTTTCGCTTCGACTTCTCATCTTGCTTGGCCCCCTGTCTAGAACTGCTCCATCCCTGCCTTGCTGGGTATAGAAATTCTTCCAAGACCTTTGAACTTGCACACAGCCGGCTCAGCTACTGGCACACTCCCCTTTGCTGCATAGGCCATGTCAGGCATTGTTTAACTGTGAAACATCTGTTGGTATTTTCTGGACTTCAGTACTGACTACAGCCTTGACTTGGTGCCTGTGATTCCCCTTGGCGCTGAGTCTCAAGTCTTCAAACCCAAGTTTCGATTTGCCTGCTGATTTTTCCATTTTGTGTTCGTTTCCTTTACCCATGCTTTAAAAAAAAAAAAGTAATTTATTTTTTTAAAGTAATCTCTGCAGCCAACATTGGGGCTCGAACTCACAGCCCCAAGATCAAGAGTCACACGCTCCCCCTGCTGAGCCAGCCGGGGCACCCTTAACCAGCTTCTTTAATAAAGTAACTGTCAACATAGTAGAAGATATTAGTGGCTGACGATACCTCACACTCTAAGAAACAAATATATTGAGTTGGAAAAGTAAGGTGAGCTCGTACGTTTAAAATCCTGTTTCCGGTTCTGTCTCTCCTAAGTGAGGCAAATAGGATTCAGTAGTACCTCTTTCTACCACCAATTTTCATGGGCAATACCAATGACCAGAGTTGACTCCCTGACTCTGATTCCTCCTGGAAGAAATCTGCCTTCTTGGAGAATGGCTATTTGTGTCTTGGATCAGGAAAATTCAGGACAGAACTGAATGCAGTGTTGTTGTCAAAGATCAAGGTTTACCATGGCTGGCAGCAACGATGCTGGAAAGACAAAGGCGTCCACTGAGGGAATCCTGCCAGACCGCTCGCGACAGTTGGAAGGTGAAAAAATATTGACGTTGTTATTTGGAAGAAGTTGATTCTACGAAAGAGCCGTGAGTTCATAATAATAGTGAAATAGGAAGAAGAGAAATAAAATACGTATAGTTTGTCACTGATTTTAATACGTGAGGGGCGGTGAATGTATATGACTATTTCCTCTTCTTTTATATCCGTGGCAGGTTATACAGTGACCTGAACTGTTACTTCTCTGTTTTTGCAAGCAGGAAAGAGAGCCCAGCAGTTCTGAAAGCGCACTAGGAGGAAGGAGAGCGGAGGTGTATCGGCAGGAAGTGTGCCAAGCACGGGAACAATGGATCCACCAGTGGCCACGCAGGTGAAGGGTCAGTGCTCCAGTGCTCGGTCAAATTCCTCAAGTACAAGAAGAGCTTAATAGCCTTCGGAGAGGCAATTAAATTCTATGGATCCCACAACACCGATAAACGGAACCTCAAAAGGGCAGGCGTGTCAATTCATGCAAAAATACTAAAACCTATGAAGAAGGCAAAGGCATGGGTGTTTTTTAAAGTGTGTAGAAAGTTAAGTCTTATCATAAAAAGAGAGGTCAATTTAGTGATCCGTGGCTTGGACTTGAATCATTCTTGGAGAAGTAACCCCATCAGGGCCCTGACTAGGAATAAATCAGTCATCCAAATCCAGCAATTTGGGCTAATTTTTGGTTCCAGAACATTTGACTTCTGAATACTGAAAGTTGGAATTCGCATAAATTTCAAGTGTCCTGCACTTGGGATTATTATTTGTCTTTTGGATTTTTCAGCCACTAAAAAACGGCTAAGCCATTTTTAGCTTGTGGGCCGTACATACACAAGCAGTGAGCTGTGCCCGCCAGCCACAGTTCGTGGACCTCTGCTCCATAAAATCAGTAGGCATTATCATAATATCTCCAGCTATCTCCCTGTAGATTAATATTTTTTAGTTGTGGTGAAATCTGCATAACGTAGTGTTTACCATTTCGACCACGGATAAGTGTACAATCCAGTGGCATTAAATCGATTCACGGTGGTGTTCAACCTCCACTGCTCACTACATGCGAAACATTTTTGTCACCACCAACAAAGACTCTGTACCTGTCAAAAATTAGCTTTTGGATTGTTCGCTAGTGACGTGTAGAAACACAACTGATCGTTTGTGTTGGTCTTGCGCTGTGCAACATTGCTGAATTTGGTTATTAGCTTTACGAGTTTCCTTAAGAACTCTTCGGGATTTGCTGTATGTGGGGTCACGTCCTCTGTGACTGGGAATGGTTTTACCCCAACCTTTTCAATTTGGATGCCCTTTGTTTCTGTTTCTTGCCTCATGGCTCTGGCTAGAACGTCCGGTACAACATTGACTAGCGTGGTGGGAAGGGGCATCCTGTCTTGCTCCCCATCTCAGGAGGAAAGTTTTCAGTCTTCCCGCATCGAGTGTGAAGTCAGGTGTGTTTTTTTTTTCTCAAGTTTTTTTTTTTTAATGTTTATTTATTTTTTGAGAGAGAGAGAGACAAAGCACAAGAGGAGATGGGAAGAGATGGCAGAGAGAGAGGGAGTGTGACACAGAATCCGAAGCAGGCTCCAGGCTCTGAGCTGTCAGCACACAGCGAACCCACGAACCGCAAGATCATGACCTGAGCTGAAGTCAGACACTTAACCGACTGAGCCACCAGGCACCCCAACACTATCATTACCTCACATGTATCCATGTGAGGAGCTTTCCAGAGATCTGTATGGTGTGGGGTATTGCACCACACTGAAGGAGAAGCAGATTTGATACTCTAGCTGGCTCCTGTTAGGCTACTCATTCGTTTTTCAAAAATATCAAACAATATCACTCTTCTCCCTAATTGATTTTTGTTTTGCAAAATACTTTTATTCTTCATAAAATGTATTTTTCATGTTAATACGCAGTAGGGTTATTATTTCTTCATGACAGGATACATAAATATTTGAAATGTTCCCCATTTAACTTTCTGATATAGTCTACAGAATCTTAAAAACGCCGAATGTATAGAAACAGAGTAGGATGGTGATTGCCAGGCCAGGGCTACGTGGAGGAGAAAACGGGCGAAGGTGACCAAGGGCACAAACTTACCACTGTAGAATGAGTAACTTCTGGGGATCTAAGCAGCATGCTGACTCTAGTTAATTGCACTGTCTTGCACGCTTGCAAACTGCTAAGCCAGTAAATTTTAAAAGTTCTCACCCCTTCCCCCAAAGTAACTGTGCGAAGTGGTACAGGTATTAAGTAACTTCATGGTCGCAATCACTTTGCAACATACATGTGCGTCAAATGATCACACTCTTCGCCCTAAACTTACACAAGGTTACATATCAATTCTATCAACAAACAAGAAACGTATATATAAATCAAATTATTTTAAAAGAAGAAGTGTGAATTTACCAAAACACAGGAGCGATTTTCTGTATTGCAAAATACTAAAACCATCTAACTAAAATCTGATAATAAAAAAAAGGTGTTATACTGGGGCGCCTGGGTGGCTCAGTCAGTTAAGTGCCTGACTTCGGCTCAGGTCATGATCTCACAGTTCATGAGTTCGAGCCCCGCGTCGGGCTCTGCACTGACAGCTCAGAGCTGCTTCGGACTCTGTGTCTCCCTCTCTCTCTCTCTGCCCTTCTCGTGTTCGTGCTCTGTCTCTGTCTCTATCTTAAAAATAAATAAACATTAAAAAAAATTTTTTTTAATTTAAAAAAAGGTGTTATACTGTGAAAAAAGGCATGCTTTTGAATTGATGAACTGTCATAAGGGATGCAGTTATAACACAAAAGGAAAGATCTGGTGATACACTGGATACGTTCACACGACTAGAAAACACCAGAGATTCTAGGGGAGAAACGTTACTAGAATATACTGAAGACTTCTGTCATTGGGTACAAGACAAATACATAACATTTGCATCAAAGTACCACAAAATGGAAATGAGTAAACTATTGCCTGTGTTTCCAATCATTACAACTTTAAAATACTTAGGAACAAATTTAACAAGAGTGATGGCACTTCTACAGGGGAAAACACTATCAAACATCACTGAAGGCCTACAATAATGTCTGTGCAAGTGAAAATGTATGCAAAATTTTTGGACAGTTTATTAAAATGTAAATTCTCATAAAATCATATATATATGCCCAAACAATTAAAATTCAAATTCCCCTAAAAGTCCAATTTTTAAAAATTAGATACAAATTTTTCGAGTATAGATTAAAAACTTAATGCCAGAGAGAAAATTCATGGAAAGTATCAGTGATGGACACTTTTTTGACTGGACTTCAGAACTTATTATAAAGCCAGGATTATCTTTAAAAATTGTATCGGTATAAGGTTACACAAAAATCCTTGTGGAACAGAATAGAAAATCCAGAATTAGGTTTTATTTAAGAGATGATTTAAGAGAATTTAAGATATGATTAATTGAGTCATATAATTCAGAGGAGAATAATGAATTATTTAATGCTAAATTATTTAATTTTTTAAATTATTTAATGATGCTAAAAGAAATGCCTATCGAACTCAAATAAAATAGGATTGGATTTCCCCTCTCACGCCATGTATAAAAATAAATTCTAGGCACATAAATGATATACAGAATAAAAAAGGAGAGGAAAAATACTTACAAGAAACTCCAAGTCACAATCTTGTACAAGAGAAGACCTTGTTAAATAGACCAGAGGATCAAACGCTATGAAAGAAAAAATAGATGTATTTGAAAATACAAACATTAAAACTGTGCATGGCGAAATTCCCTATCCTCAGAGTTTAATAGGTAAATGATAAATTTGGAAAATATTCATCAACTGGATGGAAGGGAGCTGATATTTATAACCTAAGGGAGCTCTTAGAAGTTGACCAGAGAAAGACAAATAAAAAATTCGAGTGAGGTGACAAGGAGGCTGTGCACAGGACACTAAGCCAAATGTGCACCCAGAGAAATGATGTTCTCTGGCAGTCAGGGCACAGCTAATCAGAGTAGGAGAGATCTCAGCTCACAGCCACCTGACGGGCAAAAACGTACATGTGTCCTACTATCTATCACGGGTCAGAGCGTGGAGAAGAAAGGGATCTCATCCGTTGAGTTCAGGTCTGTGAAGCTGAACTTGAAAGCAGTCCGGCAGCAATCACTGAAACCAGATTCATAATACCCCTTAACTCGTAAATCCTGATTCCACAGAAATCAAAGACCCAGACCGAGACCCAGAGAGAGTTTGAAGGTCATTTCTTACCCACGGTTCCGGAGGAGAACAATGTGCCACTCGGGACACCCAGGAGGGGCTTTGCGGCTGGTCGAGAGGAAGCCGGAACTCCCTGGGAGCGGAGACGTGGACAGACTTTGTTGTGGCTTCTGGGAAGGAACGGGCAAACCTGGGTGAGCAGGCTTGGGATTGGCTGGTTCTGTTGATAGTGGTCCCGTGTTCACTGTGACTATCAGATCGTATGGCCTAGAGCTATTTAAAGTCTCAAGATATTCTTGGGGTGGGGGTGAAGGGCAAGGTTTACCTAGGAGCACCCCATTTTGTGGGTGTTAATGCGTCAGTTTATAGAACTTTAAAGTATGTTTGGGGCACCTGGCTGGCTCAGTCGGTGGAGCAGACAACTCTTGATCTTGGGGTTGTGAGTTCGAGCTCCACGTTGGATATAGAGATTACTTTAAAAGAATAATAAAGTATGTTTAATGCAGTTGGCCCCATCATGCTTTAACATCACTGTTGGCACTAGGTAGACCTGGGGAACGGGTAGAGATGACCAGGGAGATTTAGGTAGGTGAGATCTATGGAATGGAAGACACCCTTAGGGTATAGGGCAACATCTTATCACCACACATTGTTGACAGTGTGTGTCAACACAGTGTTTCTTAGCATTTAAGAAAATCACAGCAGGGGCACCCGGGTGGCTCGGTTGGTTAAGAATCTGAATCTCGATTTCAGTTCAGGTCATGATCTCACGGTTTGTGAGTTCGAGCCCCGCGTTGGGCTCTGTGTTGACGGCTCGGAGCCTGGAGCCTGCTTCGGATTCTGCGTCTCCCTCTCTCTCTGCCCCTCCCCTGCGTGCATTCTGTCTCTCTCTCTCTCTCTCAAAAATAAATAAACATTAATTTCTTTTTTAAAGGTGTTTTCATTATAGCACAGGGACAGGACCCACGGGCAGGAGTTGCAGCATGGTGATGGTGAGGAGTGACTGATTATCGAGGGTTTTCTACCCTTTGGAGGCAAAGGTGATGTTAGGGCTCCAGGAAATTTGAGTCTATAGGTTCTTGGAGGTCTATTACTGTGTTTTTCTTGTAAATCATTAAGAGAGTTACAAACTACAGTGAAGTTTTTGTTCTACTTGTTTTCACTTGTTTTTCCCCTGCTTTCATTCTCAGGCAGTTACTAGTGCCTGAGGAATGTTTATATGTATCTCCTACCTTAAGGGGGCGAGGGGGTGGGTGCAGGCTGTGGGCTGGCGTTTGGCCTTCAGCTTGCCTTTTGCTCTCTTGTCATTACACACAACTCTATCCATCTGGGCGAGTCCCCAGCTGTCCAAAGCAGAGCTCTGATAAAGACTAAATATGAGAAGGCGTTTATTCCAAGGAATCTGAGCTGGGAGGTCTCGCTCCTGGCCTTAAATTCCACTCTGTTCTACTCCCATACTTGCATGTGAAGGAAAAGACCAATCCGAAGCACGACTACCAGCACCAAAGACAGGAAAGAACAAGGCCCACAGCATGAAAAACCCCATTCACCCCCCATGTCCAGACCCTACTGGCTTTGGAGACTCAGCGCTTTGCCAGACTCAGGCTTTCCTCATGAGGCTGGGGGGAGTCCCCGAGGCGCTGGCCACTCTGTAGCGAGGCATCCTGGAGAGAGGTGGCCGGGCTGGAGAAGTCTGGGGCCTGTCCACACACATGAAGTTGGGTACCCTGGCACTGCCTGATCGGATCAGCCATGCGTGAGGGTAAAAGGAGACACGTTGTAAAACAGAACTCATGCGGGCCAAATTCCTTAACGAAACAAAACCACAGGCAAAAATCCTAAGTCCCAGACAACCAAACACAAGAAGAAAACTAACAGTAAAAGGAGGGACCAAAAAGACAACAATACAAACTTAGAGCCAGGACAACAAAGAAGAATGAACAGGGATTAAAGCACAGTAATGAAACGGGAGACAAAAATAACGCAGACTTGCCCGGGTAACTTAGAGCTAAAGTTTTTGAAAGACAGAACACTTAGTTAGGAAATGTGATTAAGGAAAACAGAAGGTATATATAAATAAACTACATTTAGGATAAAAAGTGGAGGCTGAGTACATTATGAAGATCTCTCCGACCTTTGTTGGGAGGGCTGAGTTGTCACCGATGCTTTCAAGGGCAATTTGACATCAGTTGAAGTTTAAATTTTTTTTTTCAACGTTTATTTATTTTTGGGACAGAGAGAGACAGAGCATGAACGGGGGAGGGGCAGAGAGAGAGGGAGACACAGAATCGGAAACAGGCTCCAGGCTCTGAGCCATCAGCCCAGAGCCCGACGCGGGGCTCGAACTCACAGACAGTGAGATAGTGACCTGGCTGAAGTCGGACGCTTAACCGACTGCGCCACCCAGGCGCCCCAACATCAGTTGAAGTTTAAAACGCTCTTTTCCTCGGATCGAGCAATTCCACTTCTAAAAACATATCTCACAGAAATATCTACATGTGTCCAAAGATAGGCAAAGATATTCTTTGCTGCATTGCACGTAAAAACAGTAACCAAAAAATGAATACGTACTTGTCAATAAAATTCAGTTTAAATAAACCATGGTTCCAACCGTACTGGGGAGCCCTGGAAAGAATGTGGTAGCTGATGTGAAAACAGCAGATGCAGAGTAATATGTCTACACAGCCTCTCTCTATGCCAAAATATGGGCTTTGTATGTATGGGTAGAGTCCATATGTGCACACAGGCTGTCCTATGTTGTGTAAACGCACAGTGAAGGTGCAGAAGCCTACTGACCTTCATCAAGGGGGTACCTCTGGGGAGTAAGCAGTGGAGAGTGGTATAAAGCAAGCTCTGTCAGCGCAGAGCCCGACGCGGGGTTCGAACTCATGAATCACTAGATCATGACCTGAGCCGAAGTCGGACGCTTAACCGACTGAGCCACCCAGGTGCCCCCGGATATGACTTTTGTTCATTTTAAAGTCTGGAAAGGAAACCTGACTTATTTCAATGTTTCCCGAGGCAGAGGGAAGAGAATCCGGGGACAGACACCAGAGCACATGCACACCCGAGAGTGTCCGTGTCTCTGCAGCCTCAGGACCTGCCTCGCCTGCAAGGTCAAATGCCACACTAGCGAAGTTCCGTGTCGGAAACACAAACTGCCCAGTGCATTTTGAGCAGAGATGATGGAAAGAACTGGGCGCTCAGAAAATCACTGGCAGGGCCAGAAAGTGGGATCTCCACATGATCTCCAGGAATGCCCCCATGACTGATGGTCCACAGAGGTGTCCAGAGTCCCCAGTCAGAAAGCAGGCCATCAGGAGGTGGCCTCGGTAACTCAAGAACACACCCCAAAGCGGTGCTCTCCAGTGGTCACGAACCCACTGCCGCCATGGTGCCCTGGACAACAGAGCGGTCACCGCCCATCAGCGAGTTGGTCTTCGCAGCACGAAACAGGTGCCAGGTGGTCCCGTGCACGTAGCCTCTGCACCACGACTGCCTGTGGCCACCTCCGAAGCCAGAGGCTGCCGCCTGCCGTCACTAGTACCTTAACTGCCAGCAGAAAACACCCCCAAACCATAAGGCAATAGCTTCTGCCTTCCAAATCCCATGCGAGCGCTTCTAATTGGCAGAACCCAATTAGCACATAGAAACCCTATTTGTAAGAGTCTATTTCTGTGCCGGTAGGCCAAATAGTCTTCCTGGTATCACGGTATACCCAGGACATGGAAAATGAGTTGAGTGCCAACTAATGAGCAGGCAGTGAGCAGAGTGCTTAAAATGCACGGTCTCGGGGCACCCGGGGGGGCTCAGTGGGTTGAGCATCTAACTTCAGCTCAGGTCATGATCTTGTGGTTCATGAGTTCGAGCCCCACTTTGGGCTTGCTGCTATCAGCCTGCCAGTGCAGATCCTCTGTCCTCCTCTCTCTGCCCCTCCCCCAGTTGCACTCTCCCAAAAATAAATAAATATTTAAAAAATAATAATAAGATAAAATGTGTGATCTCAAGTGCCTTCCCAGAGGCTGCGCCCTCCTTCCCACTGTGGGAGATTTCATTGTTTAAATTATCCAAAAGTGACCTCACCCAGGAGGATAAAAGATCTTTCTCTGCAAAAGGGATCTGACCCGGAGAAAATTCTTTCTGTTACTACTTTTGAGGTTCCCCAATTTATCCTGGGATAAAGCTCCGCCCACCACCCCTTATAGAGCAGATTACCAGTCGTTTGGGGAAATCCTATGGCATGAAAGACAGGAAGAAAGAGGACAAATAACTTAGGGACAAAAAAGCATAGAGACTAGCCAACAATGGAGTTTTTAATTTTTTTTCAAATGTTTACTTGTTTTTGAGAGAGACAGAGACAGAATGCAAGTGGGTTAGGGGGAGAGAGAGAGAGAGGGAGACACAGAATCCGAGGCAGGTTCCAGGCTCTGAGCCATCAGCACAGAGCCCAACACAGGTCTCGAACTCACAAGCTGTGAGATCATGACCTGAGCCGAAGTCAGACACTCAACCGACTGAGCCACCCAGGTGCCCCCCAACAATGGAATTTTTAAAACAAAGACTACAGTTATTCTTCAGAGGGATAAGGTGAGAATGAATCCATAGAACAAAAATAAAATTCTCTTCCTTAAAAAGAACAATGAAGAGCTAATAGAAATAAAGAATAAGACAGGCAGAGTTTATTATGAAGGACAGCATTACCGCTGCACATTTTCAAGGAGAAAACCCCAGATAAATTATAAAAAGTATACTTTAAGTGTACTGGAAAGTTGTGGAAACAACAGAAATGAGACAAACTAAAATTCCCCTTCTTCAATGCATGGATGATCATGAGCTATTTTCTTTCCTGCAGGAATTTCCCAGTTTTGATGAGCCAAAGTCAGGCTTGACCCAGACAAAGGAATTCTACTCAGGGATTTACAAACTAGCAGAGAGAGTATCTGGCATAGTGCAGGCCTAGCATGTCAGATTATAAACTCAAAAATAAAAACAAAAACAAAAACACCAAAGTACTGCAGGGTTTTTTCCCAAGAGACATTTTCTGAGGTCTAGGGCATGTTTGAAGCTTGGGGTCAGGGCCAGAAGCATCTGAGAAGCAGAGTAAAATATCCTGAAGTCTTGTGGTGCTTTGGAATGAAAGTCATACTTGAAGGGGAGACAATGTCCAGACCACAACACAGGCAGGGAAACCCAAGCAGAGCATATCAGTCTCGTCGAAAGGACCAGACTGAAGTCAAAGCCCAGGCAGGCTGGGGAAGCTAGATATTGCACGGTGGTTACCAGAAAACAGGGAGCCATAGAGCAAAAGAGCCCCCAAAATCTGCCTAGGAGTCCCCTTGAGTGTATGACTAAATACTGAGATGTGAAATGCCACAAAGCCACACAAATATAGATGGGAGCACTTAGTTAAACAATTCCAAGATGACACAGAGCTAGGACATGTCTGAGTTTTGATCAGCAGAGTAGAGAATCTTTGTTGAAACCCCATGGAATTCAGTATAGACCCTAGAAGAGTAATATTTTACATTCCAGAAGAACTGCAAAAAAAAAGGTTAAAGGTAAGCTAATAAGATAATAATGAGGCTAAATATAACTAATGTGTTAATACAAAAGAAAGCAGAAAAAGAGAAAAAAGGAACAAAGAACAGATGAAACGAATAGAAAACAAAGAGGAAGATGGTGGATTTAAGTCCAAGTATATTGATAATTACGT